TTTCTTCCTTGAATTTCCCATTGATTGACCCTTCATTTTCCCGAGAAAATCTCAATTTTCCTCTGTTTCCGATGCTGCCTCCAATGGCGAACCCCAAAATTGGCTCGCTAGCGACGAAGATCTGTACGGTGCAAATCTACATCTAGTCAACAACAATGCGTTTTTGGGCGGTGAAGATGAATTGAGAGCTGCTACTTTTACATGAGTTTCCAATTCGTCTTCATCATCACTTTCATCTTCTATGTTCTTACTTTTTCGATTCGATTGGTCTCCGATTTCGCCAGTTCTGCAACACCCTCACCTACTCCACTAAACCTAACCCACTACACCACTACCATCTCACCTACTCCACTAAACCTAACCCACTACACCACTACCATCTCACCTACTCCACTAAACCTAACCCACTACACCACTACCATCTCACCTACTCCACTAAACCTAACCCACTACACCACTACCATCTCACCTACTCCACTAAACCTAACCCACTACACCACTACCATCTCACCTACTCCACTAAACCTAACCCACTACACCACTACCATCTCACCTACTCCACTAAACCTAACCCACTACACCACTACCATCTCACCTACTCCACTAAACCTAACCCACTACACCACTACCATCTCACCTACTCCACTAAACCTAACCCACTACACCACTACCATCTCACCTACTCCACTAAACCTAACCCACTACACCACTACCATCTCACCTACTCCACTAAACCTAACCCACTACACCACTACCATCTCACCTACTCCACTAAACCTAACCCACTACACCACTACCATCTCACCTACTCCACTAAACCTAACCCACTACACCACTACCATCTCACCTACTCCACTAAACCTAACCCACTACACCACTACCATCTCACCTACTCCACTAAACCTAACCCACTACACCACTACCATCTCACCTACTCCACTAAACCTAACCCACTACACCACTACCATCTCACCTACTCCACTAAACCTAACCCACTACACCACTACCATCTCACCTACTCCACTAAACCTAACCCACTACACCACTACCATCTCACCTACTCCACTAAACCTAACCCACTACACCACTACCATCTCACCTACTCCACTAAACCTAACCCACTACACCACTACCATCTCACCTACTCCACTAAACCTAACCCACTACACCACTACCATCTCACCTACTCCACTAAACCTAACCCACTACACCACTACCATCTCACCTACTCCACTAAACCTAACCCACTACACCACTACCATCTCACCTACTCCACTAAACCTAACCCACTACACCACTACCATCTCACCTACTCCACTAAACCTAACCCACTACACCACTACCATCTCACCTACTCCACTAAACCTAACCCACTACACCACTACCATCTCACCTACTCCACTAAACCTAACCCACTACACCACTACCATCTCACCTACTCCACTAAACCTAACCCACTACACCACTACCATCTCACCTACTCCACTAAACCTAACCCACTACACCACTACCATCTCACCTACTCCACTAAACCTAACCCACTACACCACTACCATCTCACCTACTCCACTAAACCTAACCCACTACACCACTACCATCTCACCTACTCCACTAAACCTAACCCACTACACCACTACCATCTCACCTACTCCACTAAACCTAACCCACTACACCACTACCATCTCACCTACTCCACTAAACCTAACCCACTACACCACTACCATCTCACCTACTCCACTAAACCTAACCCACTACACCACTACCATCTCACCTACTCCACTAAACCTAACCCACTACACCACTACCATCTCACCTACTCCACTAAACCTAACCCACTACACCACTACCATCTCACCTACTCCACTAAACCTAACCCACTACACCACTACCATCTCACCTACTCCACTAAACCTAACCCACTACACCACTACCATCTCACCTACTCCACTAAACCTAACCCACTACACCACTACCATCTCACCTACTCCACTAAACCTAACCCACTACACCACTACCATCTCACCTACTCCACTAAACCTAACCCACTACACCACTACCATCTCACCTACTCCACTAAACCTAACCCACTACACCACTACCATCTCACCTACTCCACTAAACCTAACCCACTACACCACTACCATCTCACCTACTCCACTAAACCTAACCCACTACACCACTACCATCTCACCTACTCCACTAAACCTAACCCACTACACCACTACCATCTCACCTACTCCACTAAACCTAACCCACTACACCACTACCATCTCACCTACTCCACTAAACCTAACCCACTACACCACTACCATCTCACCTACTCCACTAAACCTAACCCACTACACCACTACCATCTCACCTACTCCACTAAACCTAACCCACTACACCACTACCATCTCACCTACTCCACTAAACCTAACCCACTACACCACTACCACCTCACCTACTCCACTAAACCTAACCCACTACACCACTACCACCTCCACTTCACCTACTCCTTACCTACTACACACTCACCCTCTTCTATATATAGGAATCATGAATCATTGTAATAACAATATATCAATACATCAATTCTAATTCTCTATTTCTCTTTATACATTAATTTCAACAGTAAATTAAGTAGATATACGAGTAATCCAGGAGTAGAACACTAGAAAACAATTATAAGGGTTCTAAGATACCTTAGATTTACTCATAACATTGGGCTTAATTATACTAGATATCCAGTAATACTTGAAGGATACTATAATGCAAATTGGATATCGAATACTAGAGACTCAAAATCCATAAGTGGGTATGTCTTTACTCTTGGTGGGGCGACTGTATCTTGGAAATCTTTCAAACAGACTTGCATTGTTAGGTCTACTATGGAACCAGAATTCATAGCTTTAAATAAAGCTGGGGAAGAAGCAGAATGGCTTCGTCACTTCCTTGAAGATATTTCAATGTGGCCAAAACTGGTATCTGCTATATGCATACATTGTGATAGTCAATCAACAATTGGTAAAGTACAGAGTCATATGTATAACGGTAAGTCGCGATACATTCGTCGTCAACATAACACCGCGAGACAACTACTCTCTAATGGAATTATTTCCATTGAATATGTGAAGTCTAAAGACAACATAGCGGATCCACTAAACAAAGGGTTAGCAAGAGAGTTGGTTGAGAATTCATCGAGGGGAATATGACTTAAGCCTATTAAATAAGAGTTACCACAATGGCAACCCAACCTAGTTGATTGGAGATCCCAAGATCTAGGTTCAAAAGGACAATCGAGTTGTGTATGACTTATAAAGATCACTGGGGAGTCAAACTCCTACCTATTTCTATAATGAAATAGTGATGTCTGCAACATTTTAGGTTAAGTAATACTTTTAATGATTCTTATATCTAGGTATACCTATTGGAGTATGGTAGAATACTTTTAATAAGAATCACCTATATGAGTGTGAACTGGGCTAGTTCTATAAGATTTGTGAAGGGCTATAATTCTCTAGAGCACTCATAAAAGACCAGGTTGTTCAGGGCCAAAATGAACACAATAGTGAGAACTAAACTATATCTGATAATATTCTGTGTGAGCTCTATTATCTTGGTTTACACAAATGGTTGAACAGTTCAAGACATCATGTTCACTAGTTAGCTAGTAAATTCGACAGTGTTTCACAAGGTAAGATTCAAATTCAAAAGCTACCTATCTTTTGTAGAATATTTCCAATTTCTGTACTCTCTGTAATTAGATCATGTTGTTGCATTTTTTCTCCGTCAAATTCTATTAATGTGGGGGATTGTTGAAAATTTTGGTTTTATAGGCTTATTTTGTGCCAACTTTGAGCCCAAAATAAAGTGGGTTCTAAACTTTTTTTGGAATGGGTTCAAAGAGGTGACATGTTCTTTGCCGTATGGTAAGTCACACGGTGAAGACAGTTCATCAAAACCATTTATGAGTGAATGGGAACTTGACGTCGTTTTTGGGTTTGTGGAATGGATATTTAAAGAATTAAATGTGAGTTTTCTTGTTAGGCTTGTCCCACATTGAAACTTTAAGAGAGCTTATGTATGTATATAAGCTCTTAGTGTACTAACTTGGGTTGGGCCCCAAAGGGCACCCCAAGGTATGTATATAAGCTCTTAGTGTACTAACTTGGGTTGGGCCCCAAAGGGCACCCCAAGTTTGTAGAAGGGAGGAATTATGGACAAAGGAACCTTGGCTCAAACTACCACATGTGCATGTGTGCCGTGTTCGTCTGACCGGCAGGCCAAGCGGGGTGTGGGTTGTGGGTTGGGTCGGTTATAATATTAATTTTTTGAACAAAATTCATTTGAATTTTTTCAAAAATTATTGCGGGAAATTAATTCCAAATTTGAATTTAAATTTTCTGTCCATAAATGTACCATTTCCAGTCCACAATAGATTCAAATTTTTAACAGATTCAAACTACTTACAGGTTTTAAACTACTCGGACCGATCCAAACTGCTGGGCAGTTATCTGTCCAAAACTGCCAACAGATTTGTTGCAGTTGGAAGCAGTTATCTGTTCGAAATTTGAATTATATCTGTTGCAACTGTTCATTCAAATTACCTACCTGTTTGGACAGATTGTTTACATATAAATAGAGGCCATTTCCAGCAGTCTTGGACATCTGAATATAATTTGAAAATTTCATTTTGCTATCTTATTTTGCTCATTTGCATAAATTCTCTTCATATTAGTTTTTAAAAAAAATTAAAGAGAATATAGAACACAAGGTTTTTGTTCGTCGTACAAATTGTTTGGAGTGCTACTACAATTTGTGAAGATCATTATATCGTGGGAGATAGACACCATTTATCCGTAAGTACCGTCGCGGGACGAATCTGTCTTAAGAACTGAGTGTCTCACACTCGACTTGCTTTTTTAATTATTCATTCAGTTCGTTAAAATAAATCCTGTAATTTATTTATTTTATTTGTTTGATTTGATTTCAATTTATTTATTATATATAGAAGATTCTTCCAACATGAAATACTCACCGGCACAAGTGATATGCAAATTTAACAAATATCAAATGTTGCCAGCAAACAGAACATGTTACTGTTTTGTCTTGAGTGTCATTTTCATCCTTATTGTCCTTGACCATTTTACCACCTTTTGAATCGCTCTGTTTATTTTCTTTGGTTTCAAAAATGTACCTTCATGCATAACAACAAAGTGTAAAATCCTCATAGTCGAATTTCAAAACAGAGCATCCCACAAATGTAACAAACACTCACTGATAATGGCAAAATAATATAAAATCTCGCTGATTGTGGAAGGTTACCACTTGGCGTCCACGAAAATTTGGATCTTGTGAGAAAAGAGACTGTATTAGCCTATATGAGATAATAATAGACACATAACAGTCAGCAATAGATACAGATACTCCAACTCCATTCCATTCCATATGGCATGATTGACCATGTACACAGTAAAGTTTACGAAAAGCACATTTGAAATGGGATTGCTTATAAATATAATTTTGAAGAAGGGTAACATGGGCCAGTGATTATTAAATGTTTTGAATTTAAGACTATGACACATAAAGCAGGACTACCAAAAATGGGCAAACGGAGTGATATTTGATATGTATATATCTAGATTGGTAAATAGACTACACACACTCAAAGAAGTAGAGAGAGAGAGCTAAAAATTTCCTGAACCAATCAGAGTATTCATTGCTAAACCAATGACAAGGAGAGCATCTACAAAACAACCACCATAATTGACTATCATAACTGTTGCAATTGAAATAGGATAAATTACACTGACACCCTCTGAGATTTGATTTAATTACCTCTCACCTTCTGACGTTTTAAAAATTACATTTTCACCCCTGTAATTAATATTCTCATTTTACGAACTCCTTTGTTATATAAAAGGCAACAACTTTTAATAGAAAAACAGAGGAAATCGCATTGAAAAAAAAAGTAAAGCAAAGGAAAGGGAAAAAAAAAAAAAACAGAGGAAGTAAAACAATGCAAGAAAAGAGAGCGTGCATGAGTTCAATATCTTCATTTCATCTAAATAATTACAATGACAAGGGGTTAGTGTAATTTTCCAAACATTGGGGTGGATATGTATTAAACCCAAATCTTAGGGGTGTAGGTGTAATTTACCCATTAAAATAATGTAAGTGAAGGAAAAAAGAAAAAAGGACTGAGGATGCTTATTGGGTTCCTGCAGTTAGTATGAACAACTATAATAGAAGTGAAATCATTTTTGCTTGCATATTCTACAATCTGCAGAAACATTATGATGTCATTGTAAATAAGAAAGCTGCTTACAACATTAGCTCAATTCCTATTGTCTTATTTCAGAACACTGAAAAAAATGACAATTAATAATAAATTAAAAAGCAGCACCTTTTTCAAGTCATATGTTCTTCTCTTGTAGTAATTGAGCATTTGGGATCACAGAAAGCAATCTGATATAAAATCAAAAATACCTAAAGCCAGCATGGGATCTGCAATAAATACTCGAGATCACTCGGGAAGTTTTTTTGGTAACCTACGAAACAATATGCAAAAAAGTATTGGAAGCAAGGTGTCCATAGGCACAAAGACAAAAGGCAAATTTGTTATGTAACAAATTCTTTCTAGATATAAATAAAAGTGAGAAACCTTAGTAGACAAAAATAGGCAAAACGTTCATGTGACCAATTCTTTTTTGCTTATTTTATTATTTTTGGATACAAATAAGTACACAGTGACAAAAGTGAGGAATTAAAGAGCGAGATTTTAGCTTGCCTTAATATTGTGATTTGTAGTGTTAATGATGACAAATTTCCCTTGGAAAGAACCACTAAAGCCATTCTTTTCCCACTATGCTTTAACATAAAATCAATACATGGTAGCGAAATTGTAATAACCCGACTCGCTCATATGCTACTTATACTCTAATTCCTTTATTATCTGTGTGATTATATGTTTGATGTGAAATTTCATGTTTAAATGTGTGAATTAAACAACCCAAAAATAGAAAGAATTGCCGAAATGTAGGTCGGTCATGGCCTAAACTTTTAGAGACAGGTTTGGGTCATGACACAAATAGAAAGTATAGCACTTATAGCATTCAATATGCTATCCTTTCGAAATAGAAAGCAAATCTAAACACAAGTTTACCAAATTTGTCATGTATTTGCTTAATCAAGAACAAGAATTGCAATTTATGATCACAAGAAAAAGAAATAGCATTTAATACACTATCTTTTGAAAAATAGAAAGCAAATCTAAACACAAGTTTATCTCACTGTATTTGCCTAAGAAAGTACAAGAATTGCAAGTTAAGCAAATCTACGCACAAGGTTAAGATTTTTTTATAGATCTACCAGATACATCGATTTCATCACCCATTTTCTCACATCGAACTTCAGCCAAGAGACAAAAGAGAGGAGTTCTCATGATACACACAAATTTTTATAGAAAGTGTTCTAGGCCAAGGGTGCAAAATTCTGAGGACCCATGAGATGGTTATACATGTTAACAAAATCCTATGATAGTGAGAAATTTAGAATAATAAAGCAATGGCTAGATAAGGTAAAAAGTCAACACAATACCAATAAGATTTTACATGCTTCTACCAGATGAGAAGTTCAAAAAACTATACACTATACATAGCTTTTACCATGAAGTTTCCAAATATTCATGCATAGTATAACTAGGATGTCTTTAAAAAAGGCAGAAAGTAGAAGGATCTTTTTTTTGGTGGGTAAAAGTAGAAGGATGTAAATGTTAAGTTAACAAACAAAAAGAGTTAAAACAAACTGATATGAAGATCAGACAGTGGGGTACCTACCTTATAATTTTCCTCTGGTGAAGGGAATATCAAATAGGGATTGAGTTCTTCTTCAGATGGTTTTGGCAGAGTATCCAGGGCAGTAGTACATTCCTAGATATATGAAAATAGATCAAAAGACATGAGAAAACTTTAAATCAACTGATGAGTAATATATGTGGGCAACAGAGAGGCATGCAGCTGTGCCCACTTCAACCTTAACAAGCTTCTCCTTCTTCTTTTTAATAGGATTTTCATCATCTGCTGCAATCCTTTCCCCAACATGCATATAAGTTTGCATCTATGAGTTACTGTTCCAAAAGACAACAACGAAGTGTAACTAAAAAGATTATTGAAATACCTCAATAAGCCTCTGAAATTATATCATCTGTTAAAAACTAAGAAAAGCATTTCATATCAAATATATATACTACTATACATATATGTTACCTTGACAACTTTCGGATCTGCCCAAGGCTGCCTCTTCCGTACATGACCAAATAATTCACCAAGAATATCACAATTAAATGTGTTAATTAGAATAGAGAAAATTACAAGAGAAGTGTAAACAGTTGGATTGCAGGCATCAAGAAAATATGTATATATATGATTTGTTCATATAAAGATGATGGCTACTACTACTAGAAGAACAATTCAATCAACATACAAATTCATATAATTTATATACATGTGCATACATATACACACACACACTAGCAATGATGCTTTTGGATATCCTCATGCTACCTTCAAAAAATGCTTCTAAGTGCCATCCAGCAGACAAAGCAACGAAGAAAGAACAAAAGGGTCCCCTGGCAACCACTCTCAAAACACACCAGTCACCAAAACCACACACTACCTACCTCCACTTAGACCAGATTTTCAAACAAATAAGCAAATGAAGCAGCAAAATACAGTAGAAGCACTGAAATACAACAAAAACACTAGAAAAAAATGTAAATGATAAACAAGGATAAAGGCAGCCATCAAACTCCCAATCCTGAGATCAAAATAGAGCAGTAAGTAAAGCTTCGACTCCTTTACCGACTGCTCTTCTTAAACTTTGATTTATTATTCAACTCTATCTCAACAATTTCTCTATGGAAAACCTCTTCATTCCTGTCGAAATCAATGCCCAAATTCATATTTTATATACATATGCATACAAATTTCTTTCTTCATCTTCTTAACCTTTTTTTTTTTTTTTTATATCATAAATCATAAATCATAAATCATGAATCAATGTCATCAAACCGTCAAAAAACAAAAAACCAAAATCACAGTCATTCGTCAATGGCGATGGGTGGGTCGATTTGGGGTTGGGTTTGTGTGAAGGTATGCGAATGGAAGAAGAGAACCCAAGAGGCTAAAATTAGGGGAACAGATACAAAAAGACAGAGAGAGGGCGAAATAGAGAGGACATACCTGGGGTAATGCTCTAATGGTGGATTGACGGTGGTGCTCATGTGCGATGGCGGTGATGCTTCTGTACCTGACGGCGATGGTGACAAAGGCCCCGTTTGGTAGAGCTGTGGTAAAGTGAATATAACTTATAACCTAACCGTTTATAGTTTATAGTTGTGAACATAAGCTGATTTTTGACTTACAAATTAAGCTTCTTCTCCCCACTCAAAGAATAAGTTGATTTTCGACTTACAAAAAGCTATAAGCTGTATTGTTAAACTGAACCAAACACATCAAAATAGCTTAAATTAAGCTAAAAGCTTAAATAAGCCCTACCAAACATGGCCAAAAGCGATAGACATAGCTAGAGGAGGGCAGAGGCATGTGAGAGAGAGCCACAGAGTGAGAGAGACAGATAGATGCGTGAGGGAGTTAGAGAATCAGCATGTGGAGTGTATTTTTTAAACCCTAGTTTTTTTTCCCGACTAACTTTTTTAGTCGCCAATAATAAATAAAGGTATTTTTTCCGACTAAATACATTAGTCGCTAATTAATTTTATCAATGGCTAAAAATTAATTAGTTGCCAAATGTAAAATAAATACTGATAAAAAATTTTTTAGTAGCTAGAGATTGTACATTTAGGGATCAATTTTTTTTTAAGTCGCCTAAAATCCTTTTTTCAACAACTAAAACTCAATTACTAGCCAAAAGTAAAATAAATGCCAACTAAATTATTTTTTGTAGCTAAAGTGTGTATCTTCGCCGACCAAATATTTTTTGTAGCTACAGTATATAACTTTGACGACTAACTGTTTTTTGATCATCATTTTTAGACATCAAAAGTATTTTTTCCTATAGTGATAATGGAAATCTAAACTTCAAATTTGCCTTTCGGTGGCCACTCTTTAGCAATTCTGTAATAAAGAAGAAAAAGCACTACAAATATATATATATATATATATATAGATATATCATTTCAGTATTTTATAAACTAAAAGGAAGTGGATATGGAACTTAAAAAATGGCTTGGTTTTGCTTTTGTTTTTTGACATAGTATAATCAGCAAAATGGGAGCCAATATGTCGGATTCAGAAAAAAAGATAAAAGTTTAATAATAATAATAAAAAAAACCCCTTTATTGGGAAGTGGTTGTTTGTGGGGAAAAAAAAATTAAGGACTCATTGGAGAATCTTTGTAAGGATTTATATCATGGTAGGTCTTGTTTGGAACAATTTTTTTTTAGTTTTTTAGTTAAAATATGATATAAAAAAATTAGTATATTTGTGAGGATTTTTTAGTTTTTTGTAAAAAGATTTACAAAAAGTAAAGAGAAAAGGAAATCTTTGACTTTTTAGTATAGATTGTTGACTTTTTAATTTTTTTTAGTAATTTTTTATTTTTTAAATTAAAAAATGATATTGCCAAACCAGGGCAAAGTATAATAAGAAGAATGACTGAGGTTAAGTGGGTTTTAGGTAAAAAGAAGGAAATTAAAAAGTAGCACTTATATTAGGAGCCTTGAAAATGGGAAGCAATGTTGCCCAAATCTTTAAGGCCATACATTCATAATCCATTATTTTTTTTTTTAGGATAAATTACAAATACACTCCTTAAGATTTGATTAAAATATGAATCGCTCTCTGTGATTTTGAAAATTACATTCTACTCCTGAGAGTTCTAATTTTATAACAAATAGCCTATTTTATTAATATATCATCAAGTCAATTAACAGTTTTTAATGATGTTAAAAATATGTTTCAATTAATAATTTAGGTAATTTTATTATTGTATAGGAAAACAATTATGAATTTTATTTTTTAATTAATTTTTTCAAATAAAAAATTCTAATAAGGGGATATTTATAATTTTTCAAACCACATGGAGTAATCTGTATTTTCAACAAATCTCAAGGGGTGTATTTGTAATTTATCCTTTTTTTTTTTAAATTGAATATTCTTTGGTATTACTTTGAACATGAGTAATCTTTTTTTCCCCCTTTTTTATTGTACTTTTTTTTATTTAATATGTTAGACATTTCATATACTTCATTAGATAAACAAAATTTTTTTTAACTGTTCATGATTCAAAAAAGTAATATGTTGACATTGATACAATGTTCATCTGGTTAGGGAGACAACATCAGAGTTAACAGTTCCACTTTCTTTACTACCGCCAAAAGAATTGTTGAACCAAATCAATTCATGAGAGCAGGCTTATATCACAGGTGGCTTCCTCATCTATAAACACCTTTTCCTTCACTCATTGCTTGTCTATATTTCATAATTAATAATCATTTTGTACGCTCCTCACCAGAAAAATTACAGGAATTGACTTCAATTCTTTAATAGATGTGTGCAAAACTTGCTTAAAGGAAAGACTGTTGCTGCATTGTAGCAGGTCAAAATGGAACTGCTCATGCTACAATTACATTAGTTTCTTGCTAGTACCTCATCTGTTTTTGGGTATTCTTAAACATATCATGCACAATAATCAAGAATATAACAAAGCTATCAAATGTAGATGTACAACTCAATGTAGCTACATACATGCTCCCCTACCATGACACAAAGGCTTCAAAATTTAGGTGGCTGGCAAGGTAGTACCAAAGTAAAAATCTCAAATTTTCTGCACCTTTTGTCATTATATTGTATTGCTAGACAATGATATGATCCTAAAAAGACTTTCATTTTTCTTGAAAGCAGCGCTATCTACTTTTGTGGTGCTACATCAAAAAATCCAACCATCATTGAGGTTCTCCAAGAGACAGGCAAGGCATATTAATAATCTTTACAATTAACAGTTTTTAATAATGTTAAAAATATGTTTTAATTAATAATTTAGATAATTTTATTATTGTATAGGAAATCAATTATAAATTTCATTTTTTTAGTTAATTCTGTCAAATAAAAAATTCTAATAAGGGAGTATTTGTAATTTTTCAAACCACAGGGAGTAGTCTATATTTTCAGCAAATCTCAAGGGGAGTATTTGTAATTTATCCTTTTTTTTTTAATTGAATATTCTTTGGTATTACTTTGAACATGAGCAATCTTTTTTTTCCCCATTTTTTATTGTACTTTTTTTAATTTAATATGTTAGATATTTCATATACTGCATTAGATAAACAAATAAAATTTTAACTGTCCATGATTCAAAAAAGGTTGACATTGATACAATGTTCATCTGATTAGGGAGACAACATCAGAGTTAACAGTTTCACTTTCTTTACTACCGCCAAAAGAATTGTTGAACCAAATCAATTCATGCAGGCTTATATCACAGGTGGCTTCCTCATCAATAAACACCTTTTCCTTCACTCATTGCTTGTCTATATTTCATAATTAATAATCATTTTGTACGCTCCTCACCAGAAAATTTACATGAATTGACTTCAATTCTTTAATAGATGTGTGCAAAACTTGCTTAAAGGAAAGACTGTTGCTGCATTGTAGCAGGTCAAAATGGAACTGCTCATGCTACAATTGCATTAGTTTCTTGCTACCAAGTACCTCCTGTTTTTGGGTATTCTTAAACATATCATGGGCAATAATCAAGAATATAACAAAGCTATCAAATGTACATCTGCTCCCCTACCATGACACAAAGGCTTCAAAATTTAGGTGGCTGGCAAGGAAGTACCAAAGTAAAAATCTCAAATTTTTTTGCACCTTTTGTCATTATATTGTATTGCTGGACAATGATATGATCCTAAAAAGACTTTCATTTTTCTTGAAAGCAGCGCTATCTACTTTTGTGGTTCTACATCAAAAAAAATCCAACCATCATTGAGGTTCTCCAAGAGACAGGCAAGGCATATTAATAATCTTTAGTATAATTTTTATTTTCCCCCTTAAATTAATGGTTATTTATTATCCATTTTACATAAGGCTTCATCCAATCCTAAACAAAACAAGGCATCATATGATAAATAAACAAAGACTCTTAATAGTCAAGATCATAAATATTAAATGAACATTTTCTTTTTCTTAATGATTTCATTAAGAAGATAAATACAAGTGGCCCTCAATTAAAATTTCCAATTTACATATGTAGGAATGAATTCTTATAAACTACGATGGAGGGCCCGTGATTGATGAAGCTACTCTTGGGAAGCATTTCAAAGAGAATTATGTTTCAAATTGTTAAGTTTTTATTCTTGGCAATCTCGTTTGACAAAACTCCTTTCAGTTGTACTTGTTTTCGCACTTTTGATTTCAGTGAGGCTATGAGTTTTTAGATGCGAATCCAACTTGAATTGTGCCTTGCAGACACTACAACAAATTTGGGATTTAAAGACGAAACAAATTTGTCCCAAAATGTATATATTTCGTCACCCAAACTAATTACGACGAAAATTTTTCGTCACCCGTTTTGTCGCCAAAGCCTCGTCGCTAAAGGGTCGTAGAGACGAAAAAACAATTTCGTCATTGAAAATGATAAATTTGTGACGAATTTTTTTGTCTCCAATACGCTCTGTTGGGAACATACTTGTAAGTAATTAGCGACAAAATATTTTGTCATTAAAGGAGAAATTAGAGACACAATTATTTTGTCATAAATATAAGAAATGGAGACAAAATAATTTTGTCACGTTTAATATAAACGAAGACGAAATTTTTTTGTCAAAGAAACCAAATATAAAGACAAAAACAAATTCATCATTAAAAATGATCATTAAAAAAAAACACCATTCATTTTTTTTACGGCCATACGCCGATCAAAATAAACATATTTACATAAATAAAAAAAACCCTTCATTTTTTTTTTTTTACGGCCATATGCCAATCTTACTTACTCGCCTCTTCCATCGTTTTCTTCCTCTTTTTATCACCTTGGGAGGCCCTTGAAGGCCCTGCCTCTGTGCTTTCGTCGAGAGCGACGACTCC